TCTGTCGCTGTCCATTTTTGTAACATAACATACGACACTACAACTGAACTAGTTTTTCAATTAATCACAAATTGCTAAAAAATTGTTGTTTCATTTTTGAAATATGCCATATATGTTTTGTCACAACTACTTTACTGACACACAAAATTTGTGTAGAGAAAATATTAAAATTACTATAGCATAGTTTTGGGGGTGCAATATTACAAACATTTGATATAATAAAGAAGCAGAGAGAAAAAAAACAAAATCAAATTAAAAAAATTTAAAAAAAAACAAGGAAAAAAAAATAAAAGTATAATTCATATTATTAATATTTTAAAATTATACCAAAGTGTACCAAATGTACTATAAAATGTAAAAAGTCATAAAAAGTCATAAAATCAAAGACAGTTAAAAACCCACAGAACAAAAAATAAATAAAAAAATAATTTTTGTTTTTTTTTTTCATTTTTGTTATCCAGCATTAATTTTTACACGCTTCTGCAGAAGAATAAGTGAAGTAAAAATAACAAAACAAAAGAAAAATATGAGATCAGTAATTTCTCCTCAGTAACACCGAAAAAGAAAGCAAAAAAAAAATCTTTTCTACACAATTAGGTTTTTTCCTCATTATAATTTTTTTCCATAATTTTTTTTTTTTAATCCTGTATGTTCTCTAATATAAAACTAGAGTTTGGTTTGGGTTTAGAAATTTTTGTTCGAATTTTCTGCTATAGGTACATAATTTTTTTTGTTTTTGTTCAAAGTTATCCTTATTTCATTGTTGTTGTTTTCTTTTTTTTTGTTACCATATTCATTACCAGATTCTATTAATGTTTTTCATTAAATACATGATGTTTTATTCTAAAATATTTAAAAGGTTAAATTAATCTGTATACACACATATGTACGAAATGTAATGCGTAAAAATAAGTATGTATGTTTGTGAGTATAAATATGTTATATAATTATTATTAAATATATAAATAGAAAGGATACTGTAAGAGTTTTGAGTTTTCGGCTATATGATGTGGAGAGGAATTGAAAATTATGAAAATCTCAGGTATATCACATACGGTTGTTCTTTTACTATATTATATACGGTCGTACATATGCATATATTATTATATATATATGTACATAAATTTTTTGCAATTATTATTTAAAACTCTAAGTCATATACACAAACACGAACGCAGACAACTTTTATAATGTGTGTGATATAAATGAATAAAGAATGTTGATGGTAGAAATTACTTCCCAAGGGATCACTTTAAGGTTGTTTTAATATTATACTTAGTTTATATGTTCTGTTACATTATTTAAAAAAAGAAAAAACAGAGTATTATTATGTTATTTAATACGAATACTAGATGAGTACATGCACGTAGACATTTTACAATATCTAAAATATATTTACATACTATATACATATGAATGTGTATTCATTACAAAAAATTCGTAATTGAACATATACACATTTACTTACACTCACATATATATATTATTAAGTTTGTATTTATTGCAATGAGTTTCATTAAAAATAACAATTTCATAACAAAAAATTAAAAAAGCAAATTAAATAACACCATTTTTCTTCTTTTTGTTTTTATTTTTTGCATTCTTAATTATATAATATACACATATATGTACACATAAGTTATAATATTCTTACTATGGGGTAAGGATCTCTAGAATATTTCTTAAACTTTTTAGATGTAATTTTTGTCTTCCTGATTCCATTAATTTGTTTGTGTTCTCTTCACTTTTTTTATTTTGTTTTAAACAAATAAAATTTTGGTAGGCAAACTTTCACCATATGCAATAATTATATACATATCCATATATATGTTTACGGAAACCATAAGTATGATATGTTATTCATTATATTTATATGTAATACATTCATATGGTAAATATTCATATTGCGTATATTTTTACTTAAATTTTCCATCAGGGGACGAATTTTCCCTTTTAAAAATTATGAAAATTTTTACTTTATTCTTAAGACCAGAAAACAAACCAAAAGAAACAAAAATTGAAAAGAAAATTTTATACTTTGTATGAATCATAGATAAATCTTTTCAAAAACAAAAAATAAATAAAAATTAGAAAGAAAACAAACATGTAAATAAAATATTTTTAATATGTGGTAACAACATTACTGGAAACCAAGTAGCATTTTGCAATTCAGAGTTCTATTAAACTAGAGCAGCGAATGCCGCAACATTTCTTTTATATTTGAATTGAATGAAATGCTCTTTTCACACTTAACACTAAAAATTCTAATTATGAGAGACGCTAAGGAAATAAAATGGGAGGGAAAGCAAACAGGAAGAAATTTAGTTCTGTGTTCTATTGCATTTTAATGTTTTGAAGAGCTTTCACTTTCAGAAAGAAAGAGGCAGTAAAATATTGTTTTTTATAGTTTTCTCTAAAAATTTGCTTTTTTCCGTTATTATAGATAATTGTTGAAAGAGATGAGCAGAAATCAATAGTTTCGATTTTCGCTCTCTTCATTCAAATTTCCGCCAATAAGATAGCGTATTGTCAAGTAAGATACACAAGGACACTCAAATTTTCAGATTGTAAAAAATATTTAATCATTTAAGTAATTTTCCTTAATAATTTTCTAATTTACTACTAGGGTAATCAAAATAATGCAAGTGGGTACATAATTATTTCAAAAAAGAAAAAAAAATCAAAACAAACATAACCTCTAAGAGAAGGAAACAATAAAATAATCTTTTCCTATAAAATTATTTCAATATTTTGATTTTCTGATTTTCTTTTGTTTTGTTTGGTTTTCTGGTTTTCCAATGAACCCATGGTTATGCCAAAAAAAAAAATCCTGTAATGTTTTTCTAAGAAAAGTTGACAACTTTTCATTTGAGTAACATTAAAATTTTCCTTTATTTTCTCTCTCTTTCTTTGTCTTACTTTTAATTTTAATGTTTTTATTTTTATTTTAAAAGAAAAAATCAAAAATTTTTTGTTTTATATCAAAAAAAAAAAGAAAAGAAGAAGAAAACAAATAAGGACAGGGAACATGAAATGTTTTTGTTTTAAAATAAACAAAAAACTTTTCAAGGAATGTAATAATTCTCTATAAGAATAATATTTCTTGTTCTTACAGTTTCTTTTTTTATCTATAATAACCAGGGAATTAAAAAAATGGGAATTTTCCTAATAATATGCATGCATGTGTGTATGTATGTATTCATGGTTTTTTTTTTACTTAAATAATTTATATTTATTCACTTATATTTTGTAAAAATTATCGCATCTTCCCACATATATAAAATATGTAATGTGTAAAAAATCTAAATTGCATATTTCATACTAAAATAAAGAGAGTCCTTTTCATATTCACAAAGGTCCTATTCTGAATATTAGAAGAAAAAAGTAAAAAAGAAAATCAGAAATTTATAAATAATTTATAAAAGAAAAAATATTTTATATTTTTATTTTCTTTTTAACTATTTTTAGATTTTCATAATGCATGAAAATCTAAAAATCATATTAAGTCAAGTAATTTGGTAGGTACTCTTACCGTGCTCAAAGTATCTACATTTGAAAACTTTGAAATTAAGAAAATATGAGAAAATTTTTTATATTTTATGAATTGAAAAAAAAATTTTTTTTTATCTATTATTGTAATAAAAAATGAATTCTTTTCTTTTAAAACATAACAAAACAAAAAAAGAAAATTACTGAAAGGACTCGAAACAAACTTTTCTACTTTTCTCTTATTTTTTGACTGTAACAAGTTTTCCCAAAACTCTTGCCTATGTCAGAAATAGAAAATAAATAGAATTGAAAGAGAATATAATTTTTTTTTGTTTAACAAAATATTGTGATTTTATTAAAAAATCAAAAAAAAAAAAAATAAAAAAGAAAAAAAATTAAACTTTTAACTACGAAGATTTTAAATTCGTCCTTAATTCCCATATACCTTTATTCCTCAACTCGCAATATTTATACATACACACGATGTATATGAACGTATGTGTACGAACAAATGAGTAATTTAAGCAGTTCAACACGTACGAAAACAAAATTTGTTATTCCTTTTTTTTCTTATTTTCAGCTAGGTACAAGAAAGAAATAAAGAATTTTATGAATTTATCCTATGATAGGTTGGTAGCATACCTCTATACATCCTAAATATTGTGGCAAATGTATATACATATATATATATATACACATACATGAACACAAAAATATTTCAAATAATAACGTATGAAATGATAATGATATGATGTTTTTCTATCTAAATTAATGTTAAAAATTAAAAAAAAAAAAAATAAAAGAGAAAAATTCTTTTTCGTTATTTTAGAAAATTATGAAAAAACATTAAAAATAATTAAAATTATGTTCTTTAATGTTTTATATAAAAAGCTTAAAAAGGTAAATATTTCTTTTTCGGTTTGCTTTCTGTTGTTTACCTGTAATTTTTTAATCAGATTTCTTAAAACAATTCGAAAAATTTAATTTTCTAATTTTATTTTTGTATTTGAAAATTTTGTGTCTGGCTCATTAGAAGATCTCATTTAATTTGTATGAAATTTTTCATTTCTAAAGTAATTTAGAAGTAAAAACTGCACTTTTGATGGTGTACTTGAAAAAATAGAAATCAAAGCTTTGTAAAGAAAAAATTTTGCCCTCAAAACCTCATTTAATAATTTATAATTTTTAAACTTATTTTATATAGCTTTCCAATTTTATAAATTATTTTTAATAATCAGACGAATTTAATGTTGCGAAAATTTATATACAGGATTACCCGAGTATAGTGTTCGTAAAATGTTAATGCAATTTGGACATAATCCTGAAACGAGAAATTATAGTATTGCATATTATTTAATTAGTATTTTGTCATCTATTAAAAAGACGTGGTCTGTCAGTGTCTTGAACAACAATAAATATTACAATCTCGTAATAAATAATAATTTTCAAAATTTTTTAATTGCATCGCAAATCAAATGTTCTTTTTATTTCTAATTAAAAATATTTTTTAGGAACGTTATTGGGCTTGGATTAAATATGAATTCTTGCTTTAAAAATAAATAAAATTTTTAATTCTTAGTTAGAAAGTGGAAATTTATAATATGTAATCTTTGTTCGTACTCTTAACGCGCTTCTATCACTACTACTTAAGTTTATTAAATTCGTTTTTCTTAAAAATGGATTGCAGCTCCTACCAAGGTGATACACAAGCAACCTTTTCTTTTGGCATCTGCGTCAATAAGATAATATTCCGTTAGATTATAGCTCCTATCACAGTTCCAATGTCTCAGGCCTGCGGAGCAACGCAGATTCGGCTCTGTTTTTTAATCTATCATTGACTTCTGCGATTACCCTTTATAAAATATAATTTTAATTGATTTTCTACAATAATCTATTTAATTTTATTGTCAATTAATGTATTTAGTCAATTTAAGATTTTTCGAATAACACATTTGATTATAAGTGAGAAATAGAAAGCATTTTAGTCAACTAGTAATGCGGTACGTTAATATTTTTACCTTTTTATGTAAAACAGAAATTTTTTTTATTTTTTCTTTATTTTTGGAGGAAAAATTAACTTTAAGATGTTAGAGATGCTTATATAATATTTTCTAAAATTAAAAGTCTTGTAATATTTTTGCTTTGTTTCTTTCTTTTTCTTATTTCTTGTAATTTGTTTTCCCATTTTTTACTTATAATTTCTTTTTAGGACTAGAAAAGTTCTTTAAATATTTTTTACACATATATGTATATACAGTTATATCTCCAAACACATACATGTTATGTATATGAAAATACAAACATACATGTGTAAATACCCATATGTATTCTATGAAAATACATTAAAAATTATGATGAACAGAGCCCCTTCAGGAATGAATTGTTATGTAAAAATATTAAACAAGAAAAATACAACAACATGACTTTTGACATAATTAAATATTTTTCTATTATTCAAAATAAAAAGCAGAAGAAAAAAAGATTTAATTTTTTTTTTTCATTTTTAATTATAAGGACTATACATGTACGTCTGAAATGTATCCTGTTTTTTATATTTTAATTTTTTTGTTCTTTATTTCGAAAGAAACATTTTAGTTCAAATTACTAGCCCTAAATGTATGTGTGTTACCTATAATTATTGCTATGAGGCTCTTAAAAACGAAAATTATTATATATATATATATTTAATTTTAAAATACAAAAATACGAGGTACAACAGGACATTATTAGCCGTAAAAAAAAATTTAAAAATTATAAAATAAGTACACAAAAATAAAACACAACAATGTAAAAAACAATGACAAACTTTGAAATTTAAAATTGTATGTACGTATGCATAAATATGTTGATTATTATATTAACCATACATTCATACTTTCTACACACGATTGTTTAAATACGTATTATTATACCATGTATATATACACAAACGATAATTATAAAAATTTAATAAGTAGAAAATATTCACGCATTGCAAATTGTAATTCTCTTATTACAAGTCACACTTAATTTAACATTCTCTATACATAATAATTTAATTATATTTCAAACTTTGAAAAGTAAAATGGTGAAGTTTATTATAATTATGCGAAATTTAACAAATGTTGTAAAAAATAAAGAAATTTGCTATATTTCTCATTGCATTTAAAAATTAATGTTGGAAAAAGAGGCCAGATATATTGTATACCTACGTGTATACATATTAATGTTATTAATAATTTTAATATAATAATGGCTCGCGTTATTCCACGTATTTCTTAACATTTAACTGATATTTTGTTTTGAAACAAAATTATAATATTGATGAAGTAATTGGATGTATTATAGGAAAAGTATTTAGACAAGGTAAGAGATTAAATCGAAACTACAAATTTAAGAGTAAGTGTTGTGTATCTTTAAAGAGATCTTGTTCTTGTATCATTAACTGGATATAATTGAAATTGTTGGATATCATTAACTGGATATAATTGATATTATTCGATTTATGAAGAGCTATAATTAAATAATAATCAATTGTTTTATAAATTTAAGGATATATAAAACATCTGATTATCATTGAGTCTTAATGTCCTTTTCTACTATATAGATTTGTGTTTGCCACAATACACTTAATTTAATTTTCTTATATTATAGGTAACTATTAATAGCCCATAGGTTTTGAGAACTTTCAAATATTTAATGAAATAAATTTAAGTAATTCGTGCAAATTAAAGTTTCACTTTGTAACAGCAAGAATTATTAATAAATACGTAAAAATTTCTTTTTTATTTTTTTTTTTTGTCAATTTTTTATACTTATTGATTCAAAAACGCACTTCAAATAAAATTCATAAATTTTCTCCGAAATTTTTTTCAACAAATTCATAAGTTTAACTTTTTTCATATTCATTTGTAAGTGTAATAGAATTCAGAATTTCTTCTATATGGTCTGTTACTCCCATTTGATTACATTATAATTGATTATAACTTATATAATTAACATTATTATTTCTAAAAACATAACTTATCTTTATTTCATATCAAAATACTGAATATTAATTTTTTTTTCTGTTTGAATCTCATTAATCTTCTTTATAACAAAAACAAAAAAAAAAAACAGAAATGAAAAAGTATAATAAGTAAACACTTTAAAAATAATAAGGAAAAAAATTAAATGTAATGTACAAATACACATTCGTTGTTTTACTGTTATATAAGAGACGGTGTTCTAGTGTAAATCAAAATCAAATTGGAGAGAGTCAGAAAAATTCCTCTTTGAGTAATAACATCTGTACTACTACTGTCTATAAAGAGAAACTTTATAGACAGTAGTAGACTGAACCTTTATGAAGGGTTCAAATTTAGCATTTTTGGTTTAGGAATAAACATACAGAATAATAGCTTATGCCAAATAATGTGACGCAACAATTACGATAGAGTATGTCTTTTGCAAAGATAGTCTGATACATAAATATCATTTTGAAAAAATATATAATATCAATTGATTAATTTTGTAATGACTAATGAGGAATGACTATAATGACAAATTTAATAATAGAGTTCTGGGTCTGGGTAATTAAACATCGAAACGATTGCGTCGCAAATATATTATATGGCGAAAATAATGCATGCACATATTCTGACTATATTTTATTAATATTTTTATGAATGTTATTGTCATATCTTAATAATTATTTTTAATTTTTCTCCTGAATTTCATTACATGTATAATTACTTTGATCTCATAACCATGAAAAACAAAGGAATACAACCATTTTGTTTATTAGAAATGTGCTTTCAAATTACCGTTTCTCTTTAAATGGAACACAGTTTACATTAAAATTTTCTTTTGTTTTCTTATAAAAACAATTTTTTTAGGACATTTTCCTAATAATTCAAGCATATAACGTATATAATACAAAATAACTAAGCAATATATAATAAAATAAATCCAATTCATTAAGAAGTTATTTTCTAATTTATTAAATCGATTAATAATATGTCCACATCCATCATTCTAACTAATACAACCCTTTTGAAAAGAACCAGTTGCCTTTGATACAAATTTTTTATGTGTTTTTTTTTTGAGGAATTTTCTTTTCTCTTCTTGTTTCGTTTTCTTTATTGTAATGTTTGCTTTTTAAATAAAAAAAAAAATTATAAATAATGTCGCCATTTTATCAATAAAAAAATTAACAAAGGAATAAATTCGATTTTCCATTAACAAATTATTTTTGATAATTTGAAACGATTAAAAAGTAGAAATTCCGTCTCTATTCTCCCTTTCGCCATTTATAAAAACTCGATTTGGTTTTTTGTTGTTTGTAATTCAAAAAATACTTCAAAGGCGTTTTTTGTTCATTTATACTGTGTAAAAATAAATAGGTACAATAGGTCTATTCTTGAGGGAAAAAATTTTCCGTAAATGGTTTTGATATTTGATTTTTTTTTTGCTCCATATTCACGGCGTTTTTGTTATTTTGATAGTGTATATATGAGAGAATAAATGGAATTAAGAACAAAATTAATTTTCAAATATCATTGAAAATTTTTTAACGTAAAGCCTACTGCCTTTTTTAATGACTTAAAGCTTGATCTTACGTTAAAACCTCCATATCTGTTCCAAATCTGTCATTTAGCACAATTTTGATAATTTAATATTTTGCTTTGTCTTTTAACACATATTGTAAGTTCAAAATTTCGGAATTACTAGTTTTATTTCTTATACATGCTAAATTAGAAAGTTTCCGAAATGGAGCCTTTATATCCTTATACAATTTAACCAGTTTATTGTCATAAAGAGAATTAAAAACTCTCATTTATTTTTTTTTATAATAAAAGCAATTGACGGCGGAAAGGGGGCTTAATTTTCATAGTGGTTATAAATAAACTTACGATAAAAATTACGAAATTTATCGTAGATTTTATTCTCAAATGCAATGTAATTTTGTATTTAGCAAGAAATCTTTATGCTCCTTGCGCCTTATATTTAATTTTTATTTTAACCAACTTTCAGAAAAATAGATACTTGAATATATTTCAGAGATTTGACGACCAATTTACTACGCGAAGATTTTAATTTGTGACTATAAATAAACAAACACAAATAGTTTTCATTGCAATTTTATTTTTGAATTGTATTTGTTAACCAAACCAACGACATAATTCAGCTCTCTTGGAGTTCTAAAAAAGTAACCAAATTAACTATTTTAGTGAAGTACATATATTTAGCTTACAAGCTTCATAATTTCATTGAAATTTAAAGTATAAATGAACCTAAAATATTTGAACAATTTTGTGCAACCCTTTTTCTGTATAAATAGAACTAAGTTTACTGGAATTTGTAATTATATCATGACAATTCAATATGATCGCTTCTATATTATTTGCTGTAAGTCTGAATATTACCAGTTGCTGACATGGAATATCTTTTTCTATAAACTTATTAATTTTTGTATATACTTTGCCAACAGGGCTTTTATTAAAGCTAATCTTAATCGGCAAAAGTAAAAAACCAATTTATAAATCAAGGAACATTATTATGTTTGTGATTATTATAAATGTGAGTAAAATGT